CAGCTCACAGTGAGGATTGCTGTTGTTCAGTCGTTTCGGTTGTGTCTGACTCTCTGTGACCCCATTTGGGGTTTTCTTGGCAAAGATACTGGATCTATTTGTCATTTCCTTCTCCAACTCATTTTACAGAGGAGGAAACCAAGGCAAACGGGGTAAGTGACCTGCCCAGGGTCACACAGCTACTAAGTATCTGAGGTTGGATTTGAACTCGGGAAGATGAGTCTTCCTGATTCCAAGCCCAGTGCTCTATCCACAGCACCACCTAGCTGCCCCCTGAGGACATACTTAGAGGCAAAGAAACTCGACACCTCCCCCACCCCAGCCATTGCACATAACCCCAGCAGCAAAATCAACTCAGGAGAGGGGTTTGGGTAGGCTTTGGGGGCGGGGATGAGGTGAGGATAAGGGACAGAAGAAAGACTCAGAAAAACTAATGACAAAAATATACCAAATCAAATGAGAGAGGGCTTTTGTTTTGTCTGTGTATTCCCAGTGCCTACCACAGTGCCCAGCACATAATAAATGTTTCTTGAATCAAAAAAAAAGTGGATTGATTGAAATGGATTTTTCTCTTCACCCTGTACCACACAGTCTGATAAGTTTGATCATATACTGCTTTGATCTGGTCTCTAACTATCTCATAGAGAGCAGCACCGTACAATGGAAAGAGCCCTGCCTGGCTCTGGAGGCAGTCAACCTGGGTCCAAATCCTGCTTCTGATACTTTGTACCTGTGTGGGTCACCGACCAGCTCTTGATCCATATGATACTGTGACCCTATAGGTAACCCTGGGCCAGTCCCTCCCCCTCCTGGGCCTCAGTTTCCCCCTCTGTAAAATGGGGGGGGGTGGACTAGCTGGCCCCTGAGCTCCCTTCCAGCTCAAATAGTAACAATGGCCCACATTTATATAACATCTTAAGGTTTGCAAAACACTACAAATATGTTATCTCTATGATCCTCACAACAACCCTATGAGGGTCCTCAAGATCTAGGATCCTATAGAGGACCCTGGTCAAATCACTTAATGTTTCTGGGCCTCAGTTTCCTTCTCTGTAAAATGAGGGAGCTGTACTAGATGGCCGCCAAAGTCCCTGCCCAGCAAGAGTGGAAGCTCTTTGAAGGTGGAGGTTTGTGTTTTCTCCTTCTATTTCAAGCCACAAGAGGTGGCTTCTAGGGTTCCTTAGTTTATATTCCTGAGACAGCCGCTCCTGGTGTCTTTCCTAGGACTACCTGTGACCTTGAGTCCTGAGAAAGGCCTGTCTTTTTCTGCCCACAAACTCACACTGGAAAACCACTTCTTAGGGTTCTAGATCTAGAGCTGGAAGTGCCTTCATACAGCAGCAAGTCTAACCGCCTCATTTTACAGAGAGGGAAACTGAGGCCCAAAGAGTTTAAGTGACTTGCCAAGAGTCACACAGCTAGTAAGTGTCTGAGGTAGGATTGGAACTCAGGCCTTCCTAACTCCAGGTCTGGTACTCTATCCACTATACGTTTAATGGGGCTAAGATCTTCAAATTTATAAAGCTGACATCAAAAGTTTCCCTGTCCCTACTGGGACATGATGAAAATGATTCATGGTCTTGGGACGGAACATTCAGTCAGAGAGCAGAATGATATTATTCTCAATTTAAACTAATAGTCCTAATGAAAATGACCAGATGCCTATATATACAGAAACCTGGCACCCAATTCATAGTAATAGATTTAACTGCTACACTAACTAGAAAAACACAGTTTGATGTTAGCAAAATCTGACCTTTTTTTTTCCTCTTCCAATGTAGACAACTGACACTAATCATCCATGGATTACACGCTCCCAAGGTCTCACTGTCCCTTAGATGAAATTTAGTTCAAGGTCTCTCAGGAGATGATAAAGCAACTGGAACAACTTTTCCTCAGATTGGCACAGAAAGGAGAAAGTGAAATCTAGCTAATAAGGGACAGAGCTGGGATCTAAACCCACATTCAAAGCCTTTGCCTCCAAATCCATTCAATTTGTTAAGTGCCTACTGTGTGCCAGGTATTAGGGATACAGAGACAAAAACAAAATAGTACCTGCCTTCAAGGAACTTACACTCTATTCGGGAGGGGGGGAGACAATATACACATAAGTAAAGAAATACAAAATACATACAAAGGAAGTACAAAGTAACTTGGGGGGGGGGGGAAGAAAACACCAATAGCTGAGGTAATCCCAAAAGGCTTCCAGTAGGAGGTGGTACCTGAGCTTAGCTTTGAAGGAAGCCAGGGGTTCTAAGTGCATTCTAAGCTCAGGGGACACCAAATTCAAAGGTATAAAGTGCCACCTGCAGGGATCCTTCTGTTCAGATTAGTGGCCCCATTTCTATTTGCATTTGACACCACTGGTATAGAGGAAAGAGATGGAATGTTGTATGCAGGGGTCACTTGGAACATAGAGTGAATGAAGAGGAATAATGTGCAAGCAGCCTGGCAAGGTAGGGTACAGTGAGGCTGTGAAGGGCTTTAAAGGCCAAATAAAGGAATTTGTGTTTGATTCCAGAGGTAAAAGGGACACAAAGGTATATTTTTGGGATCCCAAAGGTAATAGAAGTCACGAAGCTTCGGGAGCAGGGGAATGATTTGTGCTTCAAAAATATCACTTTTGGCCATGTGGAAGCTGGATTGGAGTGGGTAGAGACAGGATGTAGGGAAACCAGTTCGGAGGCCACTGCAATAGTTCAGGCTGGAGGTGATGGAGGCATGAACTAGAGTGGTGGCTGAGGAGGTAAAATCAGCAAGACTTGGTAACTGACTGGATCTAGGAAATGAGGGAGAGTGATGAGTCGGGGCTGACTCTGAGGTTGCAAACCTGAGTGACTTGGTTTTGATCTGGAAACACAAAGAATCCAAGAATGGCCAAGTTGGGATGGACTTGGTATTGTGGATAGACACTCATTTCTCCCCTGGCTGCGCTACTCGGGCACTTTACTGACTTCTTCACCGTGCCCCTGGGAAGCTCATTACTGGGCAGTCTTGATCCTCAAGATCCCATCAGCCTTGGTGTTCTACCTCTTCACTAGCCTTTGCTCGGTGGGGCCATGAACTCCAAAGCGTTTGTTTAAGTAAGGAGCTTGGGCCCAGAACATCTCCTCATTTCTTGCTTGGCTGCTTTACTCTGGGACTTCTCTGGCTGAGTACCTTCCTGCCCCCTTGTTTTAGCTCCCTTTTACGGGTTGTCTTCCTCCATTAGATTGTAAGCTCCTTGAGGGCAATGCCTTTCTTGTTTTCTATTTGCATCCTCAGTGCTTAGTAAAGTATATGGCACACAGTAGGAACTTGATAAGTGTTTCTTAACTACTGACATGCAGATCTGGAGTCAGAGGACGTAGGTTCAAATCCCACGTCTGCCACTTATTACCTGTATGAATTTAGCCCTCCTCTTCCCTTCTCCAGGCCCCAGTTACCTCATCTCTACAATGAAGGGGTGGGACTGGATGGCCTCTCAGGTCACTTCTAGCCCTACACTGATGCTCCTATCTCCTCAGAGGCCATCTGGTTCAATCCCTTCATTTTACATACGCTATAACTGGGGCCCAGAGAGGTTAAGTGATTTGCCCAAGGTCATATAGGTAATTAGTGGCAGAAGTGACATAGGTGAACAAAAATTCCCTCTACTGGAAGAGAACTGAAATACTACCCACTGGCCAAATTAAAAGCACCCAGTTTTCTAAATACTACCTTCACAATCGTTCCCCGAACAAACTGGAAAAAGACTACTTGACTCAACTGATAACAATTTGGGGAAATACGTATCTTTTTAACAAATAGATTAGTTGAAAATTTTTCCTTCAGGGCCTATGGGAGCCAATTTGACCTTTGCAATGTTCATGCTCATAATATCTTAGGAAGGTGAAGTTACTCACACCACTCTGGATCACAGATGGGCCAAGAACTTAGTGCCTAGCAACATCTGAGACACCACATCATGAACTATGACACCATTTTATTCATGTCAGCGGGAACAGCACTGCCAATTCAACTATCCCACTTGCTCACCTGTCAGCAGCTGCATGCAAAATTTACAGCTCAAACAGGACGGAGAAGACAGTAGTCCCTGTCCTGAGGCAGAAGAGAGGAAAAAGACAAGAGGAAACAGGGGGTGGGCAGCATGGCTGCAGGAAATCTTCCATTTACTATCTCTGAGAGCAGAGAATCAATTAGAAGTGGACTGGCAGAGAGCTTGCAGTCATTATCACAGACTAATGAAATATGGAGAATCCACCCCCTATCTGCTGCATGTGTTTTCTATGGAATTTTAATTTTAAGAAACTAGAATAGTTAAAGCCTCACAGTTTGAAGTAAACATTTGCCCCTTGTTTTATATGTTTATTCAATGGCTTGTTATGTTACTAATTATTCAATTTATATATAATATATATGTATATGTATGTGTATATATGTGTACACACACACACATACAATCTATTAACTAGGAGAAATTTGGCCTTTGGGGCAAAGGGTAAAAAGAAGGATAACTGAGAATACTCTAAGTATACACAAGTCTGGGTTCTATTTTTAGATTATACCTATAAAATATCAATATAATTGGTTAAAAATGAAAAATTCAAACAATTGGTTTTTCATTCCACATGACCTTAAACAATAGGTTTCACCAAATTTTGCACAAAATTGATTTTACAGAGGAGGAAACTGAGGATCAGGGAGGGGAAGTGACTAGCATAATCAGGATTCAGACTCTTCTCACCCCAAGCTCCTGCTCTTTCTCCTGGTACATACCACCTCCATTCATTTGTGGCCAACACCAAGAACTCAATCCACCCAGGTGGTATAGAAGAAACTCACACTCAGACAGCTAGGTGGCGCAATGGATAGAGCTCTGGCCATGGAGTCAGGAGGACCTGAGTTCAAATCCGACCCCAGACACACAACACTCACTAGCTGTGTGACCCTAGGCAAGTTACTTAACCCCGATTGCCTCACTACCACCCCCCCCTAAAAAAAAAGAAACTCATACTCACCTCTGAAACACTCATGACTTTGACGGCTGCCAACTGTCCAGTCTTCACATGGCGACCCTGCCAAAAACCAAACAAAACAACATTGGTAAATCCAAACTGGAATCACACAGCTGGGCAGATAAGTCAACAGGCACTGAAGCAAACGAAAGAATCAGGTCAAATACTAGGGCAGATTCACGGACTTAATAGGATTTTAAGATATAAGGGTGAGTTCAAAACCCTCTCAGCTTTAGCTGGCTATATCTGCAAATGAAAAACCAGGAATGTGGATGAGCAGACATGGGAGAACATGACCTTGCTCCTTGAATTTAGCTTCGTGGCTGTATGTGTCTGTGTGTGTGTGCATGCACAAGCACACTCCAGCCCCCCCCCCCCCCACCAATCTACATGAGAGCACAGAAGCTTAGGGTTAGAAAATTGGGGGATTTGATCAAGCAATACTATTACTTGTCATACACCCCAAAGAGTTCAAACATAGAAGGAAAGAATCCACATGTTCAAAAAGAGTTATAGCAGCACTTTTTATGGTAATAATGAACCAAAAACAAAGCCAGTGCCCATCAGTTGAGGAATGACTGAATAAACTGTAGCATATGAATGTAATGGAAAAATTTTGCACCATATGCAATGACAAATATGACAAACTCAGAGAAACCCGAGAAGATTTAGATGAACTAATGCAAAGTGATGTAAGCAGGACCAAGAGAACAACTTAGAGAATGACCACAAGAATCTAAAGACAAACTCTTCTCAATTTAATGACCAATCACAATTTCAGAAGACTAATAATGAAGCTTGCCTATGATCTCTAGACAGAGAAGGGATAGAGTGCAGGTGCAGAATGAGACTTACATTTTTAGACACTGCCAATGTGTGAATGTTTTATTTAACTTATTTGTTAAGGGAGAGCTTCTATTTACATGGGGTGAGTTAGTGGATAGGGATAGAAATGCAAAAAAAAAAGAGCATCACTGAAACATTTAAAAGAAACAAAAGAAATTCAAAAAATGATAACTGTTAGCACTGTATTAGGTTTTTAAATTTTTGTTAATCTGTAGATTTTTAAAAAATTTTTTTCAAAACTTTAAAAAAATCTGTAGATAACAGAAGTTCATAGTTCCATACATAGTCCTTTTTTTTAAATACTAAAATGTTTGTGCTTACTGATTTAAGTTCATAATAAAAAAGAAAATAAAAAAAGAAACCCTGAGTTGTTTGTTACTTATTGTGCAAATAGTCCTTACATAGTTTATAATCTAGCTTTCAAAGGTTAAAATCAGGAGGCACAGAAAATGCTTACCATGAGGTGCAGTGAGATAGCCCGTAGAGACTTCAAGGCCACAGACCAGAAGGTTTAGTTCACAGAACTAAATTAATTGTCTATGCCTTACTGCCATCAATGTCATGTGTATAGGTGGGAGAGTGTACCCCAGGTTTATGGGGCAAATGTCTTATTATTTCATTTCTTATTGTGCCATTTTCATTAAATGTCTTCGCTTTGAACTAAATGCATCCTTCGGCTATTAAAGGTAAACCCATCAGTAAGGACGCCTGGTTTGAGTGGCTGTATGGTCACAAACAAAGAACAAAGAGCAGAGTTGTTCTAAAGGGTTTGACACTAGAATCTGAGATACACCTGCTAGGGAGACGAGAGACTTCCTATCTAAGATTCAGAAGTCAGTTCACTCTTTAAAGGAAAAAAAAAAAGAGACAAGTGTTTTTTTTTAAAGGGAAGATTTTCTGATGGTCCATGATAGGGGTGACTGATTTTTATAAAGGGCTATAAAAAGCCTCTGGCTTTGAACTAAAAGAGCATGCTAGAGACATAGTCCTGTAGCCAAAGACTACTGGCTGAAGCCAAAAGTTGGAAGTAGAGCAGCAATCAGCACAGATTATTTGTCCAACAAAGTAGCGTCCAGCAGAGATGAGTCTGTAGTGTCTGGCATAGACTGTGTGTCCAGTGGAACAGCATCCAATAGAACAGTGTCCAGTGGAGACCAGCAGGGAGCAAGCCCAGTGAGAGCAATGCAGTGACATCATCGGAAAAAATATCAGCAGCTCTGCAGTGTCAGGAGGGTGAGTTGCCCCACTGTGCATGGCCAATGGCCACAAGAGGTTCCCTATGCATGCATGCCTCTCTAAGTATATATCTAGGCCACATGTTCTCTATGGCTACAGCTTACCATCCATGTTCCCTCTTCCCACCAATGTTGTGTGTATAGATGGGAAAGTGTGCCCCAGGTTTATGGGGCAAATGTTTCATTATTACTTTATGCCATCTTCATTAAATGCCTTTGCTTTGAACTAAATTTATCCTTTGGCTATTAAAGGTAAACACATCAGTAGGGGCTCCTGGTTTGAGTGGATGTATGCTCACAAACTACCTTTGTGACTACACAGAGACAACTAGATGGTGCAGTGGATAGAGTGCTAGACCTAAAATCAGGAAGACCTGAGTTTGAATCCAGCCTAGACACTTACCAGTATATATGATAGCACCTACCTCTCAGGGTTGTTGAGAGGATCAAATGAGATGATATATACAAAGCACTTAGCCCAGTGCCTGGCACATAGTAGGTACTTAATAAATACTTGTTTCCTTCCTTCCTTCTTTAAAGCTAGGGTGGCTATCCTCTGGGGGATCTTCCCTATAAGGTAGAGGAGAGTGTTTTCCAGGCACCACAAATATATAAGACAAAGGAATGTAAAATTATCAATATTTATGCCTTCCTGCCTTGCCCAGCCCCCTACACTAACCTTTTCTCTTCAAAGGGCAGCTTTTTTTTTCTTTTTTGCTTTTTGGTAAGGCAATCAGGGTTAAGTGACTTAGCTTTATTTTTTCTATATCCAATTCTTCTCACTTATAGATATGACTTGTCTTCATTAAGCTGAGTCTACTTGGGATCTGAATCTCCCCTTCCCCCCAGTGAAAATTCTAATTGTTCACCTCAGAGGTTTTATCTTCATGATATAAAATAACTGAATTTTTAGAAACGAATGACTATTTTTCACTTCGGATATTTTGGTGTTGTAATAAATCCCTTATATTTGAATATAGCTTTATAATTTTCAAAGAGTCCTTGGATTAATTAATTCATTGAAATCTAACAGTGCCCATGAGGTAGGGCAAGGTGGATTCTCGAGAGGCAAACTGATAGAGAGAGGCCAAGTGACTTGCTTGGAGTCAAACAGGGAATCACCATGGAAATCCAATCTTAGAGTGTACATCTTTGGAAGGCAGGAACTGTTTGGTCCAGTTCTCTCCAAAAAGGGTGTTAAGACTAGATGCCTTCTGTGGTCCCTTCCAACCCTGAATCTATGCTCCCATGATCCACTGTATGCAAATAAATAAATGCAAGCTATATACAAAGGAAATGTAAGCTAATTTAGGAGTGCGGGTAGAAGCACTAACAACTATAAGGAAGGTGCGGTGGGTGGGTCAGGAATGTCTAGGAAGTGGTGCTTGAGTTGAACCTTGAAGACAGCTAGGAATTCCAAGAAGACAAAAGAGAACAGTTGAGGTGATGCGGATAGCTCTTACAAAGGTATGCATGGAGGAAATGGAATGTCATGTGGGGAACAGCTATAAGACCAGTTTGGCTACAGGATTGTTAAGGAGCATGAAGGGAGGTTACGCATACTAAGCCTGGAAAAGTAGGTTGAGGCCAGGTTGCAAAGGGCTTTAAATAACAGAGGAGTTGAGGCTGACTCTATGGTTGTGAGACTAGGTGACTGGAAGGATGGTGGTACCCTTGATGAAAACAAGGAAATTTGGACAAGAAGTCAGGATAATGAGATCTAATTTGGACATAGCTGAGATGAATGAATAAATGAACAAAGAAAAAAATTATTAAATGCTTACTATGTGCAACGTACTGTGCTAAATTATGGAGATACAGGAATGAAAAGCAAAGAGTTTCTGCCCTCAAGGAGCTTACATTTTAATGAGGGAGACAACAGACAAAGGGGAGTGATGGCATATGCTGTTCAAAATACCTGATGGGAAGCTGGTGATGTGGAGCTATAGCTCAGGAGAGAGATCAAGGCTTGGATATACAGATGTGGGAGTCATTAGCATGCAGGTGATCTTCTGGAACATATGGCTTTCATGGAAAGATGGAATTTGATGAGGTCACCAAGAGAGAGTCTAGAGAGAGAAGAGAGCTGGGGACAGATCCTTGGGCTACACCCATTGTAAGAGAGAGAGTGGGACATAAGTAATCGGGAGTAGTCAGACAGGGAGGATTAAAACCAAGACAGAGCAGCATCATGAAAACCCAGAGGAGGGTGTCAAAGTCTGCAGAGAGATCCAGAAGGATGAGGATTGAGAAAAGGAATTAAAATTGGCAAGGAAGAGATCAGTAGCCACTTTGGAGAAAGAAGTTTTAGGTGAATGATGAGGTTGGAAGCCAGACTCCAAGAGGTTGGGAAGAGAGTGAAAGGAGAGGAAATGAAGACCCTGGATAGAAATCACTTTTTCTAGGAATTTGGATGAGAAAGGGAGAAGAGATATAGGATGCTAGCTTGAGGGGATGAGAGAGAGACAAAGGAGGGTTAGTTTGTTTTTTTAAGAAAAGGAGAGATGTGGGTGTGGTTAAAGGCTGTCGGGGTAGATTGGAGTTTAGAGAGGATGCTTGTAGGGTTAATATGTCAGAAGACACAAGAAGGGTCAAAGGTACATGGAGGAAGGTTGGCCTTGGTGAAGAAAAGGACCATCTTTCCATTGGAATCTTCCTGAGCAGCTTAGGGCCAAGGCTGTGGATCCCACAGCTGGGCTTTGGCCTGGGGCCCTGACAGATTTCTTTTTGCCAAAAACTTCTGCATTCCATGAACTTGGTCAGGTCCCACATGCTTGCTTCAGATGCAGGCTGGAAAAGAACGTACAGGTTTGAACTCGGAAGGCTGAATGTCGAGATCTGGACTCAGTGAGCTTTGCTTTGGGGCTGATCACTTCCACAGGCTCTCAAGCTATGCAGATGAACTATGGCAATCAGATCTGCCAAGAAGGAAAGCCACCACTTAAGATCAAAATCAAATAAATAAAAACTGTAGCTAGG